TCGATTTCATGTATGTCATAAAAATTTTATCACATGTGTACTTGTGAAAAACTGTCATTAATTTAATCGTTACAATTATTCACTTGGAATCTTCTTCATTTGTTTTCAATTAATGTGCTTATCAAATGTATTCGCGCGTGAACTGGTTATCTGTAATGTTCGTGGGGAACTAAATAAGTATTTGTACAGAATAATAATTTCAGAATAATAATACATACACTGATCATACATATATGTATGTACATTAATACCATATATGTATAATTACATATACAACGGTATTTTTTTAATATACTCAATCTTCATGCAATTCTTCTAGACATCTTCAAACTTTTTTGCTTTTCGACGATGCTTCACTATAGATAAGTCAATATACTTTGCTGATATAGGTATATCTACAGGGAGCCGGACAAACCTTATCGCCTACAAACTTTTTTCATAACGATGTACTCTAATGCGGTAAAGAGCAGTTTTATTCGAAGCACGTGCCTCGGTGTCAAGCCAGCTAAAATTAAGCGGGAAAGTCCCCCTGTCTAGATGCCTGCCTCTCCAGTGCTTGCGCCACCCCTCGATGAGCCCCCTCCTATTCTTCGACGCCAGCTGGCAACCGGAAGTAAAAGTAAGAAGCCGGGTGAGGAAATAAAGGAAGCAGAGACGAGGGGTGATAGAGACGAAGCTGTAGACGAGGACCGTTGCGGCCCACTTTTATTTCCGTCCGCGTCGTTATTATTCGTACACGGGGGTCCGTGATATATCCATAGCGGGGTTCACGGGGTAGAAAGGGGAAAATTTCAGGCGAAACAGCTGACGCGGGAAACTCTTTAATTCTCAAATAGCAATAGTATAAAATTGTACGTTACTAAAAGAGCTTGAAATTGTTACACTTCTCAGAAAAAAAAGTACATTCTCTCTGGACAGTTTATAACATGGCTTGTATCTATCACCTTGTATATAATCTAATTTATATTTATTAGAGAGTACTCAATCCTTTATGATTAAAAAAAACGAGAGACGTATGTTCTTTCACATAAATATCACAGCTACATAGAATTACCATATTTTATTATGAATTTAAAAGAGGAAACGTTGCGGAACGTGCTTATGAATTAATGCCTTCATTAAAATATGATTATTTAAGCAGGTTGATTACAAGGTTCTCGTATATTTGCCTAAAGGGGCAACAGAGTAAATTTGAAATATTATATTTACCCAAAGAAAAGCGAGCGATTTCGTGCAGTTTCGTGTTTAGTACTAAATCAAAAACTGATTAGTATACTATAAAAAGTGTGTGAAAGTAAACTTTAAACACTAATGTGATAAAAACAATTACTGTTGTGTTTTTCAATGCAGCATTTAAAAAGTAAAAGTCAATATGTCCCTAAAAGAATATAACGTGACAATTGTAAGAAATATCTAAAAAGAATCATTTCTTTCGTCAGACTGCCATATAGTGTCTGTTTGTGTAATAAGAAATTTCTCCAAGTACACAAAAAAGCAAGTATCTGTTGTCAATCAAGTTGAAAATTGGGAGAAAAATATTTTTTTCCCCAAAATTGGATGGATGGCTTTTCTCAATGGGAAGCCTATCAAACTAACCCCGTTCGCTCGCAGTTCGGAGTGCTGTGAACCTGCTCGACCAGGTCGAACCACATCCTGCGTATGACCATTTCCGCAGAAGCCAGTCGACTGCTATCCTCTCGACGCGCTCGCGACGCGATATTACAGAATTACATTAGCGATATTAGATTTCCGAAGTCAATATTATCCTGAATTTATACACATTTGTCTAACTGACTATTCATACGAGCCCTATCGTTTGACATATGTATAAATAGTTTATTTGTCCGTTCAGGTAATTAAAGGAAATTTGCATACTTTGTTTCTACTAATTTTAAGTTTAATTATTTGATTAAACGTCAACTTTTTTGAAAGTGTATGTATTGTACACGCGGTAATATTTATGTATTACAATAAAAATATATTATTGATATAATTTTAACTTGAATATTTTCTTCTTATGTTTACAAGTAAAATACATATGTATTTATGAGAAACTCTTAGCGAGTCTAGAATTAAGTATTTATATACACACATAAAATTATTTATTTATGTAATATGTTTACATCAATAGTATCTGTCCTTTACCTTCTCTCTTTTATCCCTCCCTCCTTTCTTCATCTCGACTTCAATGTCCCCTCGAGAACGTAAATTCTGATTTCACCAGGATCTGCGATATCCCTGGCGAGATACTTGAGCCTGAAGGTTCAAGGCTAGGCTATACTTTCAACCGCGCTGCTCGCAAGTCTCGTGCAGCTTCAAGAGAAATTACGTGAAATGTCGGCGGTAGCGCATAGGAAATATTATCTAGCGGACGTAATAAATTATTAAATCGTGTTGCAACAATGTCTTAATAATCTTTAAAAGCGTTTTGGTACATATAATTCCATATAAATGATAAATAACGCAAATAAAAATACTCATGAGTCATGTTTAAGTGAAGCAAGAAATCGAAGAGAAATATTTTTGAAAATAAATTTGATAAGCGAATATCGCTCTCACAATTCGAATACATTCGAGACGTATAAACGCGCACACCGGCATTAAATTACACCCGGCAGACGTTATTTTATCTGCTTCTTCCCGGCGGCAACGGAGCCTGTTTCACCCTTGGGAATTAAAATTCCCACCGACCGCGGGGAAGAATCCGAGACCCAGCGCCGTTTGTGCGGCCGATTACCTGAGTCAGCTGTCTCAGGGTGTAGCGTCTTTGCAGGACTGGCGGTACGAGAGGCTGGGAAGAAAGCACGGGTTCTTTCCTAGGCCTTTACGAGGCCCAATGAACGATCCCTAAAGATGGAAGATTCTTTCCTCGATCAGAATAAAGAAGCCTCAGCTGTGAATGTCAATGGAATCAATATTCACAAACATGTATTTCGCTAAAAGCAGCAATATTTTTGGCAACGCAATCGTGATTTCTCATCTTAGACAAGAATCATTTAATTATTTGTAAACAACAATTTATATAGCTCATTTAGTTAATTGTCACAAATCAATTTTTTGATGTAAATCAAAGTAAATAAATGTCAAGTACTCTATATATTATATATATCTATATATAATACATTTTTTTCTATATGAATAGATTCAGTTTAATTTTATAACAACATGATAAGAAATGCACAAATGGGGTACGTTTTTAGAAATGTAATGGGAAAAAAGATAAAAGTTTGAGAAAAGATACCTTTTTTTCATTTAATTTTTGTTGCTACAAGTGAGCATTTGTCACTTATGTAATAATGAAGAGGAAAAATATGTCGATATACGCTTTCGAAAAATTGGTACTAACCTCTCTAAAAGAACTTTCATAAAAATACTTGATTTTAGAAAGAAAAGTGCATTGTTGTTTTCATGGTAAAATCACGTGATGATAAATCGTGGTTTTCTTGACTTGATGGTTATTCGGAGTAACGGAGATGACGTGCGACGTAAAAAGTGGCTCCAATTCCAAGCCTGACGTTAATTTTCCGCTGGCGTCGATGATACTTGAACTATAGAGCTAAAGCAATTTCGGTCAGTGAGAACTTTTTCCTCTAATCTTACAATCGCTGCCGCATTTAGGCGTGACCAAAATTTATAACTAATTCGTTCAAATGTTAAATTTACTGAAAGGGCTTTAATAATACAGCCCGAGATTATCGAATTTTTAACGTCTTACTATCTCTTTATTGACTTTTAAGCGTCGTAAATTAGAAGAATGTTTATTGAAAATGTAAAAAAAAAATATAATTTTGTTGCTCGAGGATTTTAAAAGGTAAAACATAGAGAAATTTAAATAATTTATATATACAAAATGTAATTCCTTTAAAAGCTGCACTATACTATACAGGATTTATAACTTACAACTTGGTCCGCTATTAAATCTTTGGAAAGATATAGATTGATAATCAATTTAGATCTTTTCCTAAATTTTTTAAAACTTATTCTACAGATATTCTGTAGATTCTTTAAAATCTTTAATTCACACATTATCTACCTCTAATACAACTTGAGAGACTGAAGTGGTTCGACATCTTCAAACGATTCATTAACGATTCTTGTAACCCTCACCCACACACACATTTTTAAGTTTTCTGTTTTTTGTCTCTGAGATAAATGCATAGGACTTGTGAGAATAAGAAAGTTTTGATGCTTTCATCGCGCGGTAGGAGCCCTGCCTAGGTAAAACTTCGTTTCGAGACATATCGTAATCCGTTTCCCACGGTACAAGCCAGGTAAGGTTGTCTTTATTATTCTATTTGTTGCATTCCTCTCTTTTTACATTCCCATTGATCTTCGTTTCTCTGCGCGATGCTTTATAAAATAGATAGATGCAAAGATGGAAAATAATAACGAAAGAGAAACTATGAGAAAGAGTTAATATTTTGCAAAAAAAATGATACTTTTATTAAATTTTTACTAAAGGAGAAGATTAAAATCTATATAAGAGAATAGAAACTAAATATAAGTGAAAACTCTTGTGCTCGACGACGACTCGACTGCTTGTTGATTGAACTTGAAGATCGTAATAAATGTAAACACATTTCGAGGAATTGTGTGACGTGCAAGAATATCGTACCTATCGAGAGCTGTCTTACAAAATTGGAGCAATGTGAGCGTGCGTTGGTTTTCTTTGCCTGCACGTTACAGCGTCTATCCCCTCGGGGGCAATTTGCTTTCTAACTTGATTCAACGGGACAGTAGTTTGAAGCATAGCATTAGTCACACTTGTTGTTATATTCTCAGAGAGTTTAAACTTTATACTTTGGCAATCAGTGTCGACGATCGAAGAAACTAACAAGCGCCAATTATTGCTAGTTATTTTATGCAGCAGCACATCACTGCAGTAAGTAGTAATTGCAGCACGGGGCCGATAAAAGCACAGCCTCTGAATGAACGGATTTGTTCATCGCGCGATCAATGGAGAATCTGACAATCCGATAAAAGATAAAAAGAATACTCACGGACTGGTATCTTCTTAGGATCAACGGTGCCGAGTCGCTCTTCGACTTTGTCGAGCTTATGACGTAGGTGTCCGCTTCTTTCGGCGACTTGAGCTAACTCGGCGGTGAGGTTCGCGAATATGTCCTCCGCGACGGTGAGGAGAGAGGCCAACTGTTTGAGGGAGCTGGTGAGGGCGCCGTTCGCCACCGCCTCGAGCTCGGCGCCCACCGGCCAGCCCGGATGCGAGCCCGCCGGCACGTGGCCGCGGCACACGTGCCGCGGCTCTACCTTCCGCATCACAAACGGCATCGCGACGACGACGGCGACGACGACGACGGCGCCGGGGGTAGGGTATTCCTAATCGGTCGCACTCGCGCATAACACACTTTAGCGCTGGTTCTCCCTAATTATCACCGGAGCACCGCATCGCTGCACGTTGATCCGCGAAATCGGCCAAATTCCGCGGATCCTCCGTGCCACCGACACGATCTCATGCTGCCTGCACTGATGGTGATTCTTCCTGTCACTATCGAACCACGTATCGCCTTCTATCGCCGCGTCACCGCGACTCGCTTTCCTTTTTTTCTTTAACTCTCTCAGCTGCACTTTCACTCCGCACTCCCGTCGGATCACGAAAGATCGAAATAGCACGCCGCGGCGCATTACAGGTCGACACTCGAATTTCGGAAGTAGGGCGTGTGCGGCATTGCGGTGGATTCTTTGAAAATGCCGCCACTTGTAAGATTCGTGTTCGCGCAAACCTTTTTACAGGATAATTATCGCGTTGAATCGCGCAGGGGAAACGCGCGCGAAACGACGACGCACGACGCGGAGCGAACGTACCGCGCGCCACGACGATGGTACGCCAAGTGCCGGCCGGTCTGGTAACCAGTCGCCGAGCAGGAGCAGCCGGCTGCTGGTTCTCCCATTCAAGCGAATGTATAAAAGGCGCCTTTGCCAGCTGCCTGGTTGTCAGACAAGCCGCTATCGCCATCTATCGAGCTAGCATCTCGATAGTATATCTGCTGCCGTTACACATTTTTTTTATATTAAAAAAGAGAGATATCTAATAATATATTTTATATTAAAAATATATATGTGTGTATAATGTAATTAATGTTCAAGTCTATTAAAATATTGAAATAATATAATATATTAATATAAAGAATGCGTGCATGTGAGAGGCGCGCTGTTTTACCGTGATTGATTTAACCAACAATGAGTAATGTAGAAAGCTACTTTAGAAGCTACACAACTTAATTCGAATCTACAATTTGAAGCTGCACAATGAAGCAAAGGCGAGCGCGTTATCTTTTGTGGTAAATATTGTGTGGAAGTTTATATCAAAAATTAATTCAAATTAATAAGATATTAACCAAAGACAAAATAAAACAAAGTGCATTCTTATAAAGGCCAGAAGTTTTGAAAGTAGCTTAGGTATTATATGTACATTTCTTAGTAGAAGAAATTAAACAAAAACAAATTTAAAAAACTGTATTTTATTAATGTTATAATGATAACATTAATACGTACTTATTACGTATTTGAAACAAAAATTAAAATTACTTTATGCGCGGTATATCATTTTTTTTATCCCTTCAAATGTGACGTAAGATATTTAATATGTGCGTGTGTAATATATATTTCTGAAAACTTTATAATGTATATCTATTAGATAAGTATTATAGCTGCAATGTTAGCATGAATAATTATATTTATAGTACCGTACTATCAACAATGAAATCTGTCGTCGCACAGGGAATTACTATATATATAAAATTTCGACATAGTGAAAACTAACTGAAATTGTGACATTCTTCAATGTTATTGAATTTTAAATTAAATCAGATTTTTCTCCCGTCAATAGTTATAATAATATTATAATAATATTATAGCTATATAATTAATATTTCTTAATAATAAAATAATTAAGAGTCGAGTAGTTGTTCATACATTTTTATTACTATAAATTATTGATTTTAATTATAGAATACATATCTACAGATATAAATATACACGATCCAATTACATGTTCATTCTCGTGAAAACTTCATAGACGACTGCACTATCCTAACTCAGCCAACGCGAGACGCGAGCTGCATACGCGAACTATCGATCCGTGATAGCCGCTGATCGAGTTAACGAACGTCGTAATTCGCGTTTATTTTCATAGCCAACTAAACAAAAAGTTACACACAGCGGCGGTAGAAACTCGACGAGTGCAACGCTCGTTAACGTAACAAATTTAGCAGGCTGGTCGGATTCGATTCGGCGTAAAGTAAGCTCCGGAATTGGGTTGATGTAATTGATAGTCCGAACTTATCCTTGCCATCCCCCCCCCCCCCCCTCCTACTCTTTAGAAGAATCTAATGGTTGCCGGCAGCTAGCGTTTTCTTTCACTTGGCCTTAATTTTCTCCATATGTCCAATTTCACACGATAAAGTCTCGCACTTATAGGGGGCCTCGGAATGATTCTTCTCGCCCCGAAAGATCCGCACTTTTCGGGAAAAAACAGTTGCCCGTAAAATATGCTGCAACCTTAATTTTATGGAATCTTAAATGGTATTATTGCAATTGAAATAACAAAGTGATATCACAAATTCGAGCAACATCTACGTATCTTATATTTTGAAAAGTATTTAAATTACTTTTCGAGACGCAGTGATCCGTATCCACATCGCTGCTGCACGTTCGACACACCTGCAAAAATTCTGAATTTAATTTATATATTCGCGTATGACGTGGTATGATGTTAATATAGAATAGCCATGGCTATCTTACAATCTGAAAATATCTCTGCCATTATACTTAATCTGTACAGGCGTATATGAGTCTACTTTTAAAATCTCTTACAACTATTTCTTATTGTTAGTAAAACAATATCAAATCTTAAATATAATTTTCTTTAAGTAAAATTTGTTATAATTCATTATTTCATTGTGTTCTTTGTCTCAAATTATGACACACACAGTTTCAACGTCACTATATTGGCTTTCCTGCGTCCTGTGAAGCAACATGTAGTACGAAACTCAGAATTAATTGTCTAGTGTTGATTCGAATGAATTTAAAAGTAGGTATACGATAAGATTACATATGCCAGCAGATTTTTAAAAAGACTTAAAAGTTCAAGTTATATGCTGTTCTCGAAGTAAACAGCTTGTATGCCTTTTTTATATGTCTTTTTGGATAGATTTAATCGGGATCGCGTACTTGAGAATGATTAGGTTACGAACTACTTAAAGATGCTAAAATCGTGTTTTCCGTTGTTTATTATCCAGCACGTATCTCTCAACTCTACGTGAAAGAGATACATGCTTAGGGATTGGCATGAATTGAAGGGATCCTATATATATATATATATAAGAGGGTACAGTCGAAATAAAAATCTAGAAACGTTCAAAAAGTTTCATAACTTTTATTACGTCACATATCTTCTGAATTCCTATACAAACAAAATAGTAGACAACTCTCAAATGAGTGCAAGCATTAAGACAGCCACACAAAGAAAAGAATAATTGAGAGAGCAACAAATGTATTTGTTTATACTAACAATAAGTGTATATTTTTTGTTAAAACTAGAAAAATATTCAACATTGATACGTATCAACATGTTTGGATTTTCCCACTGAGTTTTTGCGCTTATTATCATATATTTTCTTTACGTAGGTAAATACCACGCACTACTAGCACCCAGTCCTTTTTCAGATGAACGAGGGATTGTAGCAATTTATTATCGGTCTAACGAACTTAAACTAATACAGCCCATTATACAAGTTCAATTTACAATTATGCTATAGTATAGTACTCGAAATTGTTTGTACAATTATTCGATCAGGTATATAGTCCTTAAGATGGCAATCCATTCATCTTCTATTTTTAGCCAGGCGGCATGTTCGCGCGGATGTATGTACACGGACGCGGTGAGCTACGGCGTGCTGTTTTTAGCTCAGGCGCAAACAACATTGGGTGCATCGGGGATATCCGCCGGACAATCGAAGGTTCAGAGTGCATAATTACGCATGGTGACAGTACCCCTTAAGTTAGCCGGAGCTGCCCGCACAGGACGACACACAGAGATATACTCGCGTATATACGTGTTTGGCCACCACCAAGCGCGCGTCGTTTCTTGTTTCAACCGGGTTGCAATGGCCGGATTTACCTGCCCTTTCAGCGGCACTGCCGACTTCTTTTTGTGGACGGGAGATATCTTCAACGTGTGGGATTTATGTCAACAGACTTCGGACAATGGCCGAATTGAAGGACGGTGGAGGGTTTCGGAGTTATTCGATCGGCTCGACAACATCGAGCATCGGCGAATAATTAAGAGCGCATAAAAAGTACCAAAGAATCTGTTGTGACAGAAAGTGCATTTAATTGACGGGCAAACAGATCCTTTGAGAATACATCGGGATCTCTTTCATGACCTTGACGTCGAAAATAACTACTACGCAGTTCGAAAAAGTTAATTGTAACTACTTGTCTACCTTAATCATCTTCTGGGTGTACTTTTTAGTACTAGAAGTTTTAAAAAGAGAGATAAATATATATCCATTAAAATTATCACTAACATTTTAAGGGGATTCTATGACGTTTTAAAGGGATCCTATCACTTTAGATTCCACTTAAACCGTTAATGATAATTTTAAATATATTTATCTCTTTTTAAAAGTCCTGCACGCTTGTAACGTCACTGCGCAGCTTTTTACTATAGTAAAAGAGCTGCGCAGCGGTGTTATAACGATAACGAAATTTGCGCTACGAATTACAGAATATGCATGCTGGGTTATGCGAACACACAAATAGAACTTTGAAAATAGTATTTTAAATACTTGGTAAAATTTTTTTATATTTAAATTTATTTAGATGCACGTTTTCATTCAGTCGATTTATGAACATTAGCTGCAAGACTTGATCGTAAGAATAATTCGCGACACTACGCTTGCCAAAGGTATCTAAAATTTGTTTTTTTATCGTCTTCTTATTTAAATCTCAAATATAATATACATATATATAAGAGGGGCGCAACGTGAGAAAAATATTTCTACCGTGAAAACGATCATTCAAGACTTTATATGATTACAAAGCATAAAAAAAACGAACTGTACGTTGAATTTTTTTCGCCAAATACTTGGACGAAGAATTCGCATCCGGTCGCCGCGTCGCCGTCACGATGCAACAATGTTCGCGAACATATTCAGGAATGTTTCGTGGCTTTCGGAGGACGCTGTATACCATTCGATAGGCACGCAGACCGAAAACAACAGGTCGAGTTATTTCGATCGGCCGTTGGGAATCTTCGGATTCTACAAGTCGCAGAGCAGCGATACGAAAAAGTACCGGAAGGGTTGCCGCACAAAATCGAGTCGAGAGAACGTAGGACTATCGCGGCGGAATGGCGGGAGGAGATACGAGGTTGAGAAGAGAGATAGGACAGAGTGGCCGGGAGAGGCGAAGGAAAAGGGGAGGGAGGAGAGAAGTGCACCGCGTGCGAATTCCCTCCTCGCGGGTTCTGTGCGCAGTGCGATGCCTAACCCTAGGGGCACAGCGTATACCCCTTTTCCCGCCCACCCGTTAGATGAGCAGTACGAGCACTCTCCCTCCTCCCATCGCATTCTCTCATCTCTTTCCCACCTTTGAGTCGCGCCACGATTCCCTGTCCTTTTCTCTCGTTCGTCTCCCACTCCTTTTTACGTTGCACAAAGTTGCAATTTATAGCCATCTCTCTCGCCCCCATTCGTCCTTCTCTTCACCCCCCACTATCGTCCATCTCCCACTCTGGTTTTCTTACCCCCACTGAGGCAGCCGAGACACCCACCAGCTACGCCACACTCTACGATACTCTCCGCGTACATCTCCCTACCGTTTGCCGAGAATACCCTCGCGGTTGTCTCTTCCTCTTCCAATCTCTCTCTCTCGCTCTCACATGCCACGCCGTCGGACGATCGGCGCGCCGAAGTGCGGCGACAGGCGTCGCAAATTCGCTCCTCGTAACTTCGGCTCCGCTCGGTCGATTCCGAGCAATCCGAGCACCGGCCGGAGGAATTTCGCTGCATTCGCCAGTATGCGCCGCGCTGCCTTGCCGGCAAGTTGTACGTAGTGTGAATAGATTTTCTTTCCTCAGTACGAATCGTCGTCGTTTCTCACGAGAGTCCATCGTTAAGCGAGGCGATAACATTCACGCTCACAAATCTGTCACTTTCAGCGAGAGGGAGCGCGCGGTAGCGTTCATCAACGGACGACAACTCGTCCGCGGAGTCACCGTCATTCACGTTTGCTGAAATCGAGGAGCGACAGGATTCGAGGGTATCGATGAGAGATATCAGGGGGAACGGTCTTCCAACGAGCAAGGCATCAAAGGTCGTCATCGCCATCGCGATCGCACCGTTGACGGTCTCTACCAAAAATCGCGCCGATCATACAGGAAGAGAGGAGCGTTTGCCACGCGAATCACGCGGTGATATCGTGCCGCCAACGTCGCAGCGACGACGACGTAGAGCGTAGATAGATCTACCCGTAGCGGGCCAAGTTCCTATCAAAACATGGCCACGTGACCTCCGGACGGCACGGCTTGTAAACACAGAGTTTGACCACGTGGTCTGCTCCCTCCTTCCGCTGCTCCGAGCGCCTATCTCTCTCTCTCTCTCTCTCTCTCCCTTCCCCCTCCCTCCTCGCTATCTGCTCCGCCGCTGTGTCACGCTCTTCTCCTACGTTTCTCTCGCTCACGCGCGCTCTTTCGGCACGCAGAACGGCTCCCGTCGGAATCCTCAGTTGGTTCATCGCCGTCGGCAGTCGCACGCGAGCGCAGTCGATTCGCTTCCCGCGAACCCGTCGTCGAACCATTGCTCGGCACGGAGCTTCGTCTCCCGACGTGCGTGAGCGTCGATTTCGTGCCTCGCCTGGCGCGTCACATTCCGATCTCGCGCTCGATCATCTCTGGTTCGATGGTGATGTTGTGTTGAAGAACCTGACAGTGTCTAAAAAGGATTAAACGACAGTGGTGCATCAGCATCAAGCAACGCACTGACTTGAATTCGGCGCAAACAAGCACTACTACTAGTCTTCATCCAAACGGTGACGTACGAAGGACGTTGAGCACGCGTAATCACACACACACACACACTCACCCACCCACCCACACGCACAGACACACGGACGCGCGCGCGCGCGCGCGCGTATATCCACGTACAGTGATTGAAAACGCAGCTCGACTGGGGTACCGTTTGAGCGCCCGCGCGCGCGAACGTATCTTCTCGGTGTCACCGAACATCGATTGATTACCAATCTCTCTGTTAGAGAATTTATACACATACGATCGCGAAGTTTATCGCGGAGTTCGGGCCGGAAAACATGATGGATTCGGTGCCGGTGACGGCGTCGGGGTCGATGACTTCGTCGCAGCAACAGCAAGCACAGAAGAAGGGAGTCTCGTTCGAATTCTCCACTTCGCCGGATCTCGAGACCGGATTTGAACCGCAGACTCGCGCGCGATCCAACACATGGCCGTTACCGCGACCAGAAGGATACGTGGAGGGTAACGCGCCAACCGCGAAGGAGGGCGCCGAGGGCGGCACCCCGCCCCATCAGGCGCAGCTCGGTTTGCTGCCGGTGAAGAAGAACTCGTCGAGGAGAAATGCCTGGGGGAACCTGAGCTACGCCGATCTGATCACCCAGGCGATCACCAGCGCGCCCGACCAGCGGCTCACCCTTTCGCAGATCTACGAATGGATGGTCCAGAACGTCTCCTACTTCAAGGACAAGGGTGACAACAATAGCAGTGCCGGTTGGAAGGTAAGTGAATTTTTCCGCTCTCCTTCCCTCGAGTTCACGACCGTCGCGTTCGCCTCTGAGGCAGGCGGCAGGTCGCGGACGGGCTCGCTGCTTTGCCAAGATCTAATTTAAGTCACAACATTGAGAGATGCTTTTCCCGAAACGTGTCTTAGATCAGGAACGTGAACCGCAACGTACAACCAGCATTTAATGTTGAATCTCTCAATCTCAATTTCTCAAGAGACATTTCGAGAGAGACGTATCTTAAAGATACATCGTCGTTACAAGTGATATCGGACGACTGTGATGAGTTCAATGAGTATCAATTCCACTTGAATGATCTCGTATTTTTTAACAGTTTTTCATTACTCTTTTTACCAAGGCATTTCTTTTAATAATTGCGACCCTAAGAAAAATGTTTTGACTTATTCAACAAAAAGGCTCTCAACAAGAGAATGACATTTTTGTGGTGAGACTAAACAGAATTTCTGGTTATGTACACTAAAGCGTCATTCATGTTGAACCTTTTTTAATCAGAACATTTTTTTCACAAGCACGCACGCACGCACGCACGCACGTACACAGTGTCAGGGTACAATATAATAATTCTTCTAAAATCGATGATTCACGTGAAACGCGATAAAACATCGAACGCTGTTCACGTTCTCAAAGTGTGACCGGTCTGAGTTTCATTTAATGCAAGAATCGCGCGATTTTTATCACGGGACGCGAGAATCAAGTAACTGAGTTCGAGGTAACATGCGCAGCGTGAATGCGAGCCGAAGTCACATTCGGAGTCACGTTTATAGCGCGGTAGCGGTATGAAGACTTCCGTTTCGTATGGAAACAATTGTGACACGCGACAGTGCGAAGGTTAGACGCGAGAATTCATCCGGCTGGAATTTATGCGCACGTAACGATATTTTTGATGATTCACGTTACGCGATTACATTACGAACGGACGTTTCACAAAGACGCCTGAGAAGAGCTTCTATTTCGTAATTAATGCATTTTTTAACTTGCTATTATAACTCAGTAAAATAATATGATAAAAAGTTTACTATACAAGTATATGATCTTTTTGTCGATTAATCTTTAATTTAATTCACCTTAATTATTAGCTTAATTCAAATTAGTGCAATTAATGATGACTGACGAGAGATGGTACGTGATTATACTTCTCGCCCGTTCTCGCCCTGATGAAATGAACGGCAAGGTCCCTATACAAGAAAAAAAATGAACGAAAACATTGTGCGGCATTAGCGATGAATCATGACGACAACTCGCTTAGCATGTCTGATTATCTTTGGAGAGATGTGTACGTTGTCTTTGGAACGATGACATTTTTTAATTATTTTCTGATTGTGTGTTTTTTTTTTTTTTTTTTTTTTTTTTTTTTTTTTTTTTTTTTTAATTAACGGAAACAGTTGATTCTTCGACAAGTTTGGAGAAACACTACTACGTTCTTTACTGTTCCGATAAGAACAGTAAGGTGCTTATCAGAACGATAAAAAGCGATAATACATCGAGCGCTTCTTTCTTCTGCAGCAGAACCTATTTACATAGATCATATGTGCGCATTGTAAGCTTTAAAATTATGGCACTGCATTTTTATTACGGTACAATCTCTCACAAAAAATAAAGGCTATATAATTATCACCGCAAAATAATGAAACGGAAAGACATAACTGATTGTCACGACTGAAACGGAATTTTAAACCAAGTGATAGTCCGATAAGTTATTAATTATTAATTAATAATAAAATAGCTTGTATAAAACGACAGTTGATCTTTTAATGATATTAAACGAATGTAACGTATATACGAGAGTTAAACAAAATGTTAGAACTGCAAAGCGAATGTTTATGTCGAACTATTTAGCACGGTACGCGCATAATTAAAATGTTAATAATGCATTATAGTGTTTATAATTATAAAGCTCGAGCTCCTGGTTCGGCAAAACTCTGCGTTACACATTACATTACAACAGACGAGATATATCGTTTTACGTATTTCGTTACGGTGTGTCGCTAATTGGCTGTCAAATTTGAAGTGATCTCAGTCTCGGAAGCTTCAAGTTGCTGCGTGTAATATGTAACAGTTAATATTCTTCTTCATAAAGTGCTATGTGAATCTGCTTTATTCAGTGTGACACTTTAAACTGTAAAAAAAAAAGAAAAAAGATATTTCCTTAAAATGGAAAAATATTTCTTCAACGTTCCGATTTTAATTTGATATATTCTTTAGTAACCTCTATTATTCTATGGCTATCTCTCATAGATAACTAACTCGATTTTTCAATTCTTAATGTTTTAATAATCAACACAGAGTTGTTGGAACTTACATCTTTTTGATATAAATAAAATTGCAAACATTTTTTATGTAACTTTATACTGGTATACTGTTCTTTATTTACGCAAAGCTACATTTATCAGTTAATATATTCTCCTTTTAATGAAGTTTAAATGAAATAGTGTAAAATTTCTGACTCTCGCGTTTATAAGTCGTCGTTCCATTATTATGGCTGCAACGATACGCGTGTAAAGCATTAATGCCATTTACGATTTATATGCCATTAATAATTTTCTACTTGGTTATAAATTATCTATGCTTTAAATATATTTTGTTACAATTTCGATGTAAGATGCGAAAGAATTCATTATAAAGGAAGAAAAATAAGTTTTTTTTATTCTAAACTTGCTGCGTTTGGCACTTATACTGTTTCTAATCCTAGTTTGTTACCTATATTCGGAAAGAAAACACTCTTGTATGGCACTTGAAAGAAAAAAAATCGATATTACCGCAAAAAGTTTATATTCATGATTGCAACACAGTTGAAGGTAGTAAAGTTATTTTGACGTAGTTGAGTTATGGAGGAAGTTATTGTAAAATATATCTAGGGTTAACAGTCTAAGGGTCTTTCATAACTCTTCAGCGCCTAACGTGTCAGGTGACAAATGTGCTTTCTATGTTTCTCCGTTGTTTAAATAAAATATTAGAAATTACCAGTTAAGCACCTACGACGCTTAGCTATACTCATAGTGTCGACGCGTCAAATGCGCGGCAAAAATCCACCGCATCGCGGATACGAGTCGTGCAGAGTAACTGACGACGAGGACGTGCAATCACGTGGCACAGTCAAGCCTCAGCTAGAGAGAGAGAGAGAGATATATCTGTATCTTCTCCTGTGCGTATTTCCCGCGGGCGCGCGGGAATACACATACCGACGCAACGCAGGGAGTTTAAGGCCCGTTTACACCGTTCAGTGCGCACGACGTGCCGTCGCCCGCGGCCGTCACTGCCGCGGCCATCATCATCGACGTCACGTCGGGTCGAAGTACACGCATAAATCGATGCCATCGGATGGACAATCGTCGTCGCTCATTTCGCTCTCTCAAACGTTGTACGGCGATGCGGCATTATTTATGCGCGGGTTGCACTGCACGCGAAAGCGCCCGACAAAAGTTCAGGGATACGTTCCGAGAATTCACCGAGGAAAGAAAGATTTCTGCGTGCGCGTTTAACGGCTCGTTTCATTCAACGACGACCATTCCATCGGTCATCGGCGAGTCGTGACGTCGCGGGAGCGAAGAAATCGCGAAGGCTCGCAGCAATGGAGCTCGCTATTGCAATTGAGTATACGGTTCTTGAAACAATGTTAATTTTACCTTTATATTAGAGGCTGCTCATTATAAAGGACCTAAAAAGCATGTCCTTTTATCGAGGTTTTTCTGTGATGTGTAGACGCGCGGCGGGGTGGTAGTTATACCTATATTCTCAATTACATAGTGAAGAGTTACAGAATTTATAGTAACATGGTTGCAATTCGAGTAACGCATTGTGAGCACAATAATTGGTGCTCCCTCCGACGTGCAATCGCGCCTTGCTCATCGAGGAATTTCATTAGGCCAGCGCGATAAACGCGTAGGACGATGCGTTTCGTTGCCTCGTTGGCGCGCGTTATGAATTATCCTTCACGCGTGAATCTATACGGCAGACTATACGCAGATGGAAGTTTGAGACATCCTATACACGACTCATAGTTTTAGCAGGCTCGTCGTGATATTCGACATAATGACACGACATTAAAGTGTCTGTGTGATTCACTTTACAAATTAATTAAATATACCACTGTATATAGATTTACGAGCGGGGCGCGTTGAAGCAACAAATTTCTTGCGTTGCAAAGAAATTCATCGCGCAATTTGCCCATCTATAACGGCAGTCTGTAACGAACCCGCTCATGCAGATATATTGTATTTGGTTGCGTTCCCGCAAACAGATGCTTAAGGCCCATACCTCCTCGTGTGTGTGTGTGTGTACTGTTAGCGCAAGTTTTAGCGTAGCGCGCTATAGAGACAAGAGGTGTCGTGAAACACATACCGGTCAAAAGATTACTCATCCGTCTGGTTTTAAGATAAACGCCGCGCGCCGTAGTCGGCATTACAAAGCTTTCCCTACCTATCCATCTTCGTCGGCGCTATATACTCTGCTCGAATATATTATCTATCCATCCATGGCGATTAGAGGCGACCCGCGCCTCTCTATAATGACCGACAGAGAGAACTCGGCTAAATGTCCGGCCATCTCTTCGTGGTATCTTCCGCGCTGTTACGGCACGGTAAATACTGGAACACTACCGGTCAGTGAAATCGGAACGCCCGCCGCGGTGAATACTGGATCCTTCTGTGAGATCGTTATTCACCAGATTATCTTCGGGAGAAGGAGAATTAATCGCGGCGTGTTTCTCAGAAATCGCGACTTTATCTTTAATGGCGGATTTTTTGATAATTAAAATTATCATGGTCATTAAATTTAAGGTACGGGCTTCTCGAGAGAGTTTGTCGAGATTATTTGTGTCACGTTCTATGCGGGTATTGTATGTATATATGAAAGGATAATGCCGTAGGTATGATCATGAGGAGGATCAAGAACCTAATAATCTTATATATATACATGTATAGCACGGAAAAAAAGAAACGATTTTGCTCAAGTATCTAAAAATCTAGCTAGATACAGTTCTGAAGATAATTTTGTTAGATTATCAAAATAATACATAAATGTGGGACTCTTAAGCTAGTTGCTAAAATATCAAAACTTTTTGTATCATTGCTCATTATGCTTTTGACAGT